AATGAAAATGAGAAATGTTGCATTGGCAATTTGCTGATTTTTTTTCTTTTTCTTTTTTACATTTTATTTCAGTTAACATTTATTTTATTTCAAGTAATGAATTTTTTTTATGGTTTTAGTTAACTGTAATAACTCTGCTGCCTATATACCCTACATACTACACCTTAACCAACAATCGTCATATTGCATTTATTTACATCTATGCATTTGTCAGATACTTTTATCCAAATTCACTTTGCATTCAAGATACTCACTTTATCAACTTGTGCATTCCCTGAGCTACAGCAGTGCAGTACTGATCTGTGTGTGTGAGGACGACCTCAGTAACCCGCACAATCTCCCCGTCATACACACACCTGACACACAGCGCGGACTCGACCTCTTCACCCCGTGGCTCTCGTCCAATCACAGGCAGCCGTTCCTGCTGGTGGGGCCGGAGGGGTGCGGGAAAGGGTATGACACAAATATAGTTATTATAGTTAACTTAAACTAAAAGTATTTAAAAACATTTTTGGTAAATAAAATGAAGCTGAAATACAATAAAATATAGATGAAAACCTTGAAGTAAATGAAAATATGTTAGTTAAAATGACATTGCATTTAAGGTACATATTTACATTATACTAGTTCTTGGTTTTACTGGAAAACAAACTCTACTGTTTGAGCTACAGGAAATAACTGACTGAATATAAGAAAAACAAGTAAAAAAGTAAGATAAAAAGTACAGTAAGTAAAAAAAGTACAGTAAAACTTGAAAACAAAATTAAACTAATAAAATTATAAAAGCACAAAAAATAAAAAAACCCTGAAATTAAAATGACAACTGAAAATATAAAATGAATTACTATTTCAAAAGTTTAGTAAAAGCCATATACCCTATACCATAATGGTATATAAATCAAATTGAAATACACACACACATGAAATGACAGATTAATTCAGACCAGGATTATTATAGTTAACCAAAAATATAAAAATAAAATAAACACTAACTTGAAATAAAATATTTTTTAAAAAGTTGAAGTTTTTTTGTCATCTTTCCCGTTTTTTCATTTAGTTTAACTTGATTAACTAAAATAACTAAAACTAAAACTGGAAGAAAAAAAAATATATATATAGACATATTAAAAAACAAAAACTATTAAATATGGCAAAAAAACATCAAACTACCTTAGTCATTACTAAAACTTTAACTAAAATTAAAGTGAAATTATAAAATAAAAACATTCAAAATATGAATAAAAATGATAATAGTATAATAAAAAACTAATATGTATACACACAAAATTTAATTCAGATGAGGGTTATTATATTTGACGAAAACTACAACCATAAAAAACATTTTCGTTACTTGAAATAAAACAGACGTTAACTGAAATAAAATATAAAAAATATTTTAAAAACTTAAGCTTATTTCAGCTAGTTACCAAGGCAGCATTTCTCATTTTAATTTAGTTTAACTTGATTTACTAAAATAACTAAAAATGAAAAAAAAAAACTATATAGACGCATAAAAAAAAAAAACTAATAAAAACTTTAAAAACAAACAAAATTACTAAAACTTTAACTAAAATTAAAGTGAAAATATAAAAATTCAAAGTAAATCAAATGATTCATTGAAAGGATAATAGTATTTGAATGATCCTAAAATAGCAATGATTGAGACTGTGCTCTGTGTGTCAGGATGCTCCTGCGCTGCTCGTTCTCTCAGCTGCGCTCCACCCAGGTGGCTGTGGTGCACTGCAGCGCTGAGACCTCCTCCCGTCACGTCCTGCAGAAACTCTCGCACACCTGTCTGGTCATCAGCTCCAACACGGGACGCGTGTACCGGCCCAAAGACTGCGAGAGGCTGGTGCTGTACCTCAAAGACATCAACCTGCCCAAACCCGACAAGTGGGGCACCAGCAACCTCATCGCCTTCCTGCAGCAGGTCACGTGCCACACTGTTTTTAGTGCAAATCAAGGTTTCTTGTGCCATTTTAGTTTCTCACAGTCTTCTTCCACAGGTCTTGACATATCAGGGCTTCTATGATGAGAACCTGGAGTGGGTCGGACTGGAGAACATTCAGATTGTGGCGTCCATGTCAGCAGGCGGCGCTGTGGGGCGGCACACACTCACCTCACGCTTCACCTCGATCGTGCGGATTTGCACCATTGAGTGAGTACTGATGTACATACACACACACACTCACACACACACACACACACACACACACACTAATCCATCTCTCCTGTAGTTATCCAGACAGAGAGCAGCTGCAGACCATCTACAGCGCATACCTGAAACCCGTGCTGCAAAGGACTCTGGGTAATGATCCAACCTGGAGTTCTGCAGGGAAGATCCACCAGCTCGCCGGCTCATTGGTGCAGGTGTACGAACAGGTCAGATCTGATTGCTCATTTAAAAGTGCCTGTGTTTGATGTCTGTGTAAAGGTTTGCAGTTATTAGATTTTTGAATGAAGTCGTTTCTGCTCATTTATTTGATCAAAATACAGTTAAAAATTGTGAAATATTATTGCAGTTTAAAATAACTGTTTTCTATGTGAATATGTATTAAAATGTAATTTATTTCTGTGATCAAAGCTGTATTTTCAGCATCATTACTCCAGTCTTCAGTGTCACATGATCTTCAGAAATCATTGTAATATGCTGCTTTGCTGCTCAAGAAACATTTCTGATTATTATCAATGTTGAAAACAGTTGTGCTGCGAATATTTTTGTAGAAACCGTGATACATTTTTTTATTTGATGAGCAGAAGGTTAAAAGTAGTTATTAGATGGCTAAAAGTAAAACCATTTTTACTTGAAATGAACATTAGCTGAAATAAAATAAAAAAACCCTCAAACTTATTTCATTTAATTTATTTGAACATTTCTCATTTTAATTTAGTTTACTGTGAAGTAACTTAAAGGGGTCATATGATGCTATTTTAAAGATCATTATTTTGTGTGTTTTGGTGTAACAGAATATGTTGACATGCTTTAATGTTCAAAAAACACATTATTTTTCAAATACTGTACATTATTGTAGGTCCTCTATGCCCCGCCTCTCTCAAACGCTTCGTTTTCAGCAAAGCCCCCTCTTTTGACAAGCGCAGTCTGCTCTGATTGACCAGCTGACCCAGTGCATTGTGATTTGCCGAACACACACACACATACACACACACACTCACTCACACACACACACACACACACACACACGACGTGTTACTCTGCGCTGTGCAAAACTCAGCATTTGAAAAGTCAATAGCAAATACTTGAACAAGTAACAAAACATACTTACAGTTGCTGATTCAGAAGCGCCAGATTGTCATAGCAAAGTCGGAATTAACCCTTTGTTTTTTTTGTTTTTTTAGAAATAGCCTTTGTGCACAGCCAGCCTTGTACTCTTCTAGGTTCAAAAAACTGTCGTCCATCTTAACCAATGATTCCTAATTGCATCTACTTCCGGAAGTCCGCTGAAATACACAGCGTCTCCCTGACATGCTGCATCAACACTACTGCTGTTCCTGAAACCACGCTTTCTTTCTTTGCGTGCACATTTGGGCTAATTATGCTAATATTTACACATAGTGAGGTAGACATGTGGGGGCGTGTTAGAACGAGCCGTTTTAGGTAGGCGTGGCTGACTCTTAACTTTTATAAAGAATATCTCTTTGGATTTGAGACTTTAGTCTTTGCAACTTTACAGATCTTCTTTACGCACCAAGAGCTTGTAACACACCAAAGAGAAAGGAACAATTGAAATTGCATCATATGACCCCTTTAAATGAAATAAACTAAAAGTAATATATAAAAGTTAATAAAAAACTATATAGACATATAAAAAATAAATAAAACTTATAAAAATGGCACACATCAAAATTACTAAAACTTTAATTAAAATTAAGGTGAAAACAGAAAATATAAAAATCTAATTCAGAATATTACCAAAAACTCTAATAGTGTATCAATGATACTAAAATAACCCTGTTTCAAAAGAGCAGAATTAATTTGAAACATAATTTTTCTGTAACATTATAAATGTCTTTACTGTCACTTTTGATCAATTTAATGCATCACTGATTAATAAAAATATTGATTTCTTCAAAAGAATGGTAGTGTGTGTTTTGACTGGTGTGTGTTTGTGTTTCAGGTGAAGGCTAAATTCTCCGTTGATGATCACAGTCATTATCTCTTCACCCCATGTTTGCTCACACAGTGGGTCCTGAATCTGCTGCGATACAACCTGAGCACAGGTGAACTCAATGCATTCATTAAACCAACACAATTCACTAACACACCCCAAAACTGGCATCTCAGTGTCCCCAAAAACATAGTATTGAAAGAAGCCATGGGCTCTGTTCCAAATGTTAGTGAACATCCTCACGGTCCTCATGGTCCTTCTAAGGCAGCACACCGAACTAAATCCTCACAAGTCAACGATCTGAAGCGTTTTAAAGTGCAGCAGCTCCAGTTACGGTGCGTGACGTCAAGCTCACAGCTGACTGATGCTGTCAAATGCTCACATTCAGAATTTGCTTTCACGTTTATGCATATAGCAGATGATTTTATTGTCAATGCATTCTTATAGCTCATACAGTAAAGCAGTGATCCTCAATTCTGGCTCGCGAGATCCACTTTCCTGCAGAGTTTAGCTCTACCCTAATCAAACACACCTGAGTTTGCTAATCAATGTCTTCAGGATCATTAGAAAATCACAGGTAGGTTTGTTTGATTATAGGGTTGGAGCTAAACTCTGCAGGAAAGTGGATCTTGCGAGCCAGATTTGAGGATCACTGCAGTAAAGCATGGCACTAACAACGGCAAATTCATGGGTTCAGTTCCCAGGCAATGCATGAACTGATAAAATGTGTACCTTGAATGTAATGCAGATTGCTTTTGATAAAAGCATCAGCTAAATGCATACATGCAAACATGCAATGCATTCATGCAAATGCATTTTCACTATTGAGTGAATCATTTATAATCTTTTGGAACGGTATTCCTGTCAGAAGTACATCCAAGATGCCCTAAAATGTTGTCTAGGTAGGCAGCTCACTACATTTTGGAGCTGTTCACCTGTATAGTGACTGAATAATGTCTTATTTCACATGCAAAGGTGTCTTTAAAGGTTTTGATTTATGGATACTGATTTGAATTAGCTTAATTCATAAACAGTAGAAGTCTATGAGGTTCTCACTATGATACAAAACACATTTTTGGTTTGTGTGTGTGTACAGGTAAATCCGCTGTAGATTCAGTCCTTGAGGTGGTGGCGTATGAAGCCCGGCGTCTGTTCAGGGACCGTATCGTGTCCTCTAAAGATCTGAATGCGTTTGAAAACATCCTGTCCTCCGTCATCAGAGGCGACTGGGGCTCGGATGCACTCGACAACATGACAGGTCACACACACTCACACTTAATGCTTTTATTCACCAAATATGCATTAAATTGTTTAAAAGTGACAGTAAAGATATTTATAAGTTCACAAAAGATTTCTATCTCAAATAAATGCTGTTCTTTTAAACTTTCTGTTCATCAGAGAATCCTGAAAAGTAAAATGTATCACAGTTTCCACAAAAATATGAACTGTTTTCAACATTGTTAATAATCAGAAATGTTTCTTGAGCAGCAAATCAGCATATTAGAATGATTTCTGAAGATAATGTGACACTGAAGACTGGAGTAATGATGCTGAAAATACAGCTGCGCATCACAGAAATAAATTACATTTGACTATTTATTCACATAGAAAACAGCTATTTTAAACTATAATAATATTTCACAATTTTATAAACTTGATCCTTTGATTGTTCATTTGTGTGTTGTGATTTACTACAGATATGTACTTTGTCACGTGGGCCGCGCCTCATGAGGGCCGTTCTCCTGGTCAGCCGCTCCCACCTCACGGCAAACCGCTCGGACGTCTCAACGCTAGTGACCTCAGAGAGATTATACACAAGGCAAGACAAGAAATAAAATGATAACACACATTCATAGTTACAAGTGTTTGCTAAAGCTAATGTCACTGTTACTAAGGGTTGGACATGGTATATAATTATTCAATCATTACAAATAATTATATTTAATCAATTTAAAAATTGTATTAGTTAATATTTTTTTTATTTTATTCATCTGATTAATTAAATTAAATAATAATCTCATTCTTTTAATTACACTTATTATCTTGCAAATTTTGTAATGGTATTCATTATTATTTTATTTCATTTATTGCATTTGATTTAAAGGAATAGTTCACCCAAAAATGAAAATTAGCCCATGAATTACACACCCTCAAGGCATCCTAGGCGTATATGACTTCCTTCTTTCTGACGAATCCAATCGGAGTTATATCAAAAATGGTCTTTGATCTTCCAAGCTGTTTAATGGCAATCAGTGGGTGTTGCAGTTCATCAGTCTAAAAGAAGTGAAATAAAGCGCATCCATTCATAATAATTCATAATTTTCATTTTTGGGTGAACTATCCCTTTAAATAATTTAATTTAATTCAGCTCATTATCTTGTTTTGTTTGCTGTTTTATTTATTTAAATAATTTATTAAATTTGATCTAACTAATTATTTTAGTTCATTATCTTGTTTTGTATTGATTTTATTATTTATTAAATCAAACAATTATTTCATTTATTTAATTAAGCTTCTAATTGTATTAATTATTATATTTTAATTTATTACATTTGATTTAAATAATTTATTTTAGTTCATTATCTTGTTTTGTATTTATTTTATTAATTTATTAAAATTGATTTATTAAATTAAACAATGATTTCATTTATTTAATTAAGCTTCTAATTGTATTAATTATTATATTTTAATGTATTCAATTTGATTTAAATAATTTAGCTCATTATCTTGTTTTGTTTTTGTTTTATTAATTTGATTCTTTTTTCATTACTGTCTCATCAGGGAATAGTTCTGTACGGCCGTGATAACCGTGAGCTGGACATCCTGTTGTTTCCGGAGGTTCTGGACTACATGTGTCGAGTGGATCGTGTCCTGAGCTCTCCTGGCGGGTCGCTGCTGCTGGCGGGTCGTAGCGGCGTCGGCCGGCGTACAGCTACATGCGTGGTCAGCCACATGCACGGGGCGTCTCTCTTCACCCCCAAAATCTCCCGCTCGTACTCACTGAAGCACTTCAAATCTGACCTGAAGACTGTGAGTCTCTGTCCATCCGCACTCTCTCTGCGCTAATAACACGAGGCTCTCACTCAAACTCTCTTTCTCTGTCTGTAGGTCATGCAGTCGGCCGCTGTGGATGGACAGCAGGTTGTTCTGTTGCTGGAAGATCATCAGTTTGTTCATCCTTCCTTCCTGGAGATGGTCAACAGTCTGTTGTCCTCAGGTCAGTTATTATCCATTTGATCAAAATACTTTGCTTCAAGCTGTTTGCTACATACAGTGTCATTCGTACATTATATTTTATGTTCGTAACAGGTGAAGTTCCGGGTTTGTACTCCACTGAAGAGTTGGAGCCTCTTCTGTCATCTCTGAAAGATCAGGCATCACAGGATGGATTCACCGGGCCAGTTCTCAACTATTTCTCCCACCGTAAGTACTCACATGCGCACACACACACACACACACACACACACACACACACACACACACACACACATATTTTATGTTCGTAACAGGTGAAGTTCCGGGTTTGTACTCCACTGAAGAGTTGGAGCCTCTTCTGTCATCTCTGAAAGATCAGGCATCACAGGATGGATTCACCGGGCCAGTTCTCAACTATTTCTCCCACCGTGTACTCACACGCGCGCACACACACACACACACACACACACACACACACACACACACAGACACACACACTCTCTCTCTCTCTCATCTATCATTATGCTTTAATAAATTTGATAATTTCATTCATTATTATTGTATTTTTTATTGTTAAATTTTATTTTATTGTTACATTTAATTACAAATATTTAATTTGATTGTTTTATATTATTTATTAATATATGCCTTTAATGCAATATAGGTCATTTTGGATAAAAGCATCTGTCAAATACATAAATCTAAATGTTTAGGTGGGAGACATTGCTTTGTAACTAATCTTATATTACATTATATAATTCTATTCATTATTGTTTTATTTAATTTATTACATTTGATACATTTTATTTATTTATTATTTTATTTTATTTTCAATATAGGTGTCTTTGGATAAAATCGTCTGGCAAATGCATAAATGTAAATGTTCGGCTGGAAGAAGTTGCTTTCCTTTTCTTTCTTTTTTTTTTTCCAAATAAATGTTAATAGACTTTAATTTACTTCATATTTAATTCTTACATATTTAATATTTTATTTTAAATACTCTAGTCAGAGGCTGATTGTGGTCTCCAAACCAAAATCGGTATACAAGTGCAAGATGTCATTATTTTTGGTCCATTTTCTCAGGAGAGCAAGACTAAAATATATTTTAAAATGTGTAAATCTGCAAAAGTTTATGTTGTCTTTCTGTTGAACATAAAGATTACTCCAAAGCTAATAAACAAGCACTAAAACCTGCCGCAAAACTAATACTTTCATCATGTGTGTGTTTGTGTGAGTATTGGCATGGTTAATTAAAACCAAAAAATAAATTGTTGGCAGAGTCTTAACTTTGATAAAGAATATCTCTTTGGTTTTGAGACTTTAGTCTTTGCAACTTCAGGGATCTTATCTCTGCACAATCAGCTTGTAACACTCCAAAGAGAAAGGAAAACTTGAAATCGCATCATATGACCCCTTTAATTTAAATAAAGCTGAAATAAAAAAAATAAAAACAATATTAGATGAAAAACTTAAACTTAAATGAAAATGTTTAAATGTTGCCTGAAATAAAATATGTAAGTTGAAGGATTAAAATCATTAAAACTAAAACTGAATTAAAATGAATGCTAAAAATAAAAAAAATTAATAAATACAAAACTAAAAATGACAAATAATGGAATGAGACGCAGATGCACTCTCTGCCAGCAGGCGGCGCATAAAGAGGTTCCTGGTTTCCGCTGTAAACACAGCAGCGCTGCACTTATGAACTTTAATATGCATTATACAGAGGCAAGATGAATAGAAAAAATACCATCTAAACTTTTCTAAAGACAGTAAGTTCCCCTCAGACATGCATTCATATAAACTCCTACCCCTAATTGAATCGTGATTTGTTTGGCATCTCAACCGATTTGAATCGTCACATGTTTGAATCGATTTCTGTACTCATGTGACCGCAGGCGGGCGTGGCCAAGCTGAATGAAGCGAAGGCATTGGTGGATGAGCTGAAGAGGCGGGCAGCCGAGCAGAGCAGCTTACTGAAGACCAAACAGGCCGAGGCGGACGGCGCCCTGCAGGAAATCACCACATCGATGCAGGTGTGTGTGTGTGTGTGTGTGTGTGTGTGTGTTCGAGATACATGTGGAATCGAACGCGCAGCGTGAAGTGTATTTACATGTGGTGCGTTTCAGAACGCCAGCGACCAGAAGACAGAGATGGAGAAGATCAAAGAGAGAATGGCACACGAGGTCTCCAAGATTGAAGAGAGGAAGAAGAAAATAGACGAGGAGCTCCGAGAGGTTCAGGTGAGCACGACTAAACACTCCTGTCTGGTTGAGCTGAGCCATTATCAGTCAACCAAAACCAAAGTAAAACCATAAAACAAAATAAAGGTTAACTGAAATAAAATTAAATATAAAAAAATATATAATTCAGCTTTTACTTCAGCATGTTGCCAGCATGTACCAAAATAACTGAAACTAATATATAAAAACAAATAAAAAATGTATAGACATTTAAAAAAAAGAAAACAAATAAAAATGACAAAAACACAACAAAATTACTAAAACTTTAGCTAAAATTAAAATGAAAATTTGTTTGAAAAAAAAAAAATAATAATAATAATAATTTTGATAATTAATAATTTACTAATATTTAAAATAATGTAATATAGTGTTGTCAAAAGGCCCGGTACTTCGGTACCAAGTTGGTACTAAAAAAATGAAAACGTTACGGTACCAGGTTTTTTAAGTACCGGTGGTACCGAGAATCCGGTCAACCCGGTTCTTGATGCACTATCCGAAAGCTGCGCAGATGCGCTCTCTTCATAAAAGCACTGAGACGTGGCGACATCAAAAGGAGGAAACACACCAAACTAACAAAACACTTTAAAGACAGACACCCAGATCAAATGAAAGAGTTCAAGCAGGTAAGTTTCATTTAAATTTTTAATATTTAGATCTTCCCAGTGTTTCCCATACATTGATTTATTAGTGGCGGCCCGCCACAATATCAAAACTGACCGCCACAAATAGATTTTCCAAAAGGCTTTGACTTCGTTGAATAAACATGAGCACTGCACGTTTCAAAGTCGAAACCCGGTGCGGGTGTTTTTATATCACTGTATTTCTGAAGGAAACCAACTGTCTTCAGAAAATTGTGGATGTCATTTTCAGTTCATCTAATAAAGCAGCGTTTGTGAGCTGAGCGCTGCTTTGTGTACAGCTGTTACTGGTGGAAACCTCCATCTCTCCCGCTCTACAAGCGCCTCCTGCTGGCAGAGAATGAATTTGCATATATATGCTGCCACAAATAGAGTGCAAGTCTGTGGGAAACACCACTTGAATAGTATTCAATATTTAAATTTGAATGTCGGATTGAAATGAACGCTGTTATTAGAGTAGTTAATCGTTGGCATAAGCGCGACTAACGCTAATATAATGAGCGTTAGAATTAAGTTTCTTTATTAACTATTTAATGCTCCGATAACTTTTATTAGGGTAAAAAAAACAGGAGGACATGATGATATTTACTATTTTTACACACCAGAGGCTTTTAAATGAATTGTGAATCTAAAATATGCGTGTTAGAGAATATACAAATGGCTAACATTGTTTGTGTCACATCAGTCAGAAAAGCCGTTCTGGGCTTTTTTTTTTTTTAGCTAACTTAGTTGTTATTCTTGGCTGAATAACTCTAGGTTTTCAAAAGCCCTTTAAAATTAAATATGTACACAGTTTGGATTAAATGAAAGTATAGTAACATTTTTGAATTAGCATTGTTTTGTGTTTTGCTTTGGTACCGATATTGGTACCGAGAACCGTGGATTTTCACTGGTATTGGTACCGAATACTGATATTTTGGTATCGTGACAACACTATATTCTTTAAATATTTAATAATATAATATTTTTAAAATATTGTAATGTTTAATAATAATAATAATAATATATTCATAAATAAAAATAATATATTCTTATATGAATCTGATCACATAGATCTGTCCTCATCCAGGATTATTATAGTTTTTTAAAACTGTTTTATATTTAATAGCATTTAAAATAATGCATTACTATTTACATTTTTCTATTTTTTTTCTTTCAGTTTGCACTTTTAATTTATTCTTCATTGGTGTTGACTATATCACTGTTAATTTTAGTTTTTAATTTTATTTAGCTTTTATTTTAATTTTTTATATCTGCCAAAGTTAGTGTATTAATTGATTAGAATTTAAACAAATCTTTAACAATATTAAATGTATCAGGGCTGTCGAGTCATCACTTGTGGCATTTTAATTCATTTGAATTAATTTTAGTTTTGAAGTCTTTTTTTTTTTTTTTTTTGAAAACTGAAATTTTATTTTCAGTTTGAGATTTTTTCCCCCCATGTTTTTATTTAATCTGTGTTTCGTTTTTCTATAACATCAGTCCTGATTGTATGAACACACAGTTGTCTGTCTGGTGTTCTTAAAACTCACATAAAACATGTTCTTTGTGTGTGTGTTGTGTGTTTGTGTGTGCTCAGCCCCTGGTGGACGAGGCAAAGCAGGCGGTGGTTTTTGGCTTTTTTTTTTTTTAGCTAACTTAGTTGTTATTCTTGGCTGAATAACTCTAGGTTTTCAAAAGCCCTTTAAAATTAAATATGTACACAGTTTGGATTAAATGAAAGTATAGTAACATTTTTGAATTAGCATTGTTTTGTGTTTTGCTTTGGTACCGATATTGGTACCGAGAACCGTGGATTTTCACTGGTATTGGTACCGAATACTGATATTTTGGTATCGTGACAACACTATATTCTTTAAATATTTAATAATATAATATTTTTAAAATATTGTAATGTTTAATAATAATAATAATAATATATTCATAAATAAAAATAATATATTCTTATATGAATCTGATCACATAGATCTGTCCTCATCCAGGATTATTATAGTTTTTTAAAACTGTTTTATATTTAATAGCATTTAAAATAATGCATTACTATTTACATTTTTCTATTTTTTTTTCTTTCAGTTTGCACTTTTAATTTATTCTTCATTGGTGTTGACTATATCACTGTTAATTTTAGTTTTTAATTTTATTTAGCTTTTATTTTAATTTTTTATATCTGCCAAAGTTAGTGCATTAATTGATTAGAATTTAAACAAATCTTTAACAATATTAAATGTATCAGGGCTGTCGAGTCATCACTTGTGGCATTTTAATTCATTTGAATTAATTTTAGTTTTGAAGTCTTTTTTTTTTTTTTTTTATGAAACTGAAATTTTATTTTCAGTTTGAGATTTTTTCCCCCCATGTTTTTATTTAATCTGTGTTTCGTTTTTCTATAACATCAGTCCTGATTGTATGAACACACAGTTGTCTGTCTGGTGTTCTTAAAACTCACATAAAACATGTTCTTTGTGTGTGTGTTGTGTGTTTGTGTGTGCTCAGCCCCTGGTGGACGAGGCAAAGCAGGCGGTGGGGAACATTAAACCGGAGTCCCTGTCTGAGATCCGCTCGCTGCGCATGCCGCCCGACGTCATCAGAGACATCCTGGAGGGGGTGCTGAGGCTCATGGGAATATTTGACACGTCCTGGGTCAGCATGAAGAGGTGAGAGAGACAGATGGTGATGGGAGTGGGAGCCGCTCTGTCATCATTCATGCTTTATTTTAGCCTCTAACGGCCGTAACCGAATGAATTCTGCCTTTATTTATGGTGTTTATCTCTTGCCGGGAAATTAAACTGTCATACTGCTTATTACACCTTCACACTCTTCAGGCTAAATTAATCCAATCTCATTCTAGACTAATTAATGCTTTTAATTTAGCGCATTTTCATTGCAAATAGGCGTGTGAAGACGTTAGGTCATTTGCTTTCGGTTAAAAACATTAAATTAGTTGAATAATTGAAGAGCTAATGGAGTGTTTATAAACGGCAGTTTCTTAGCCAAGCGAGGAGTGAGGGAAGACATCGCCACGTTTGATGTGCGCAGTATCACTCACGAAATACGACAGAGCGTCGAGGAGCTGCTGCAGAGAAACAAGGCATCGTTTGACCCCAAGGTCAGACACACACACACACACACACACGATACAAAACTCAATTTCACATTGTACATACAGACCTAATTTATGCTGAAAATCACACTTTTTGCACTACTTGGGTGAATCTCACAAAAACTGTTAAAAACATGTCATTTTGAATTAATTATTTAATGCAGTCTAGTGCATTTCTCCACCATTTCTTTTCACTTGGCACACATCAACAGTTTTCTAACTGTAATATACTTAAAATTATATATATAGATAGATAGATATATATATAATTTAATTTAATTTTTTTATAAAAAGTAATAAAAGTATTGGTACGTATTGTCTATTGAACTGTCTTTGAATTTAATTTGCATGAATTCAGTTTACATTTAAATAAAAAAAATAAAATTGTAAAAGAAAAACAGTAAAAAAAAAAAAAAAATTATAATAGAGTAATGAGACTCTAATTAGAATCGCAATTAATGAAAAAAAAACGTGTTGTTTTGTAATGAGAATTTATTCAAATGCATTCATGTTTAATATACGAATGTGTTTTTGTTTTTTTTTTGATTGCAGGGGAAAATTTAAAGGGATAGTTCACCCAAAATGAATTCTGTCATCATTTACTCACCATCAATGAATTTCTTTCTTCTGATGAACACAAAATAAGATTTTTGATGAATGTTTGTAACCAAACAGTTTCTGGTCCCCTTTGACTTCCATAGTATTTTTTTTCCATATTATGGAAGTCAATTCATTCTAACATTCATTAAAATAACTTTTTATGTTCAACAGAAAACTCGTACAGGTTTGGAACAATTTGAGGGTGATAAAATGTTGACAGAATCTTCATTTTTGGGTGAACTATCCCTTTAATCCAGAAATGTTTACATGAGATTCACACATATTCGATTTAAAATAAAAGAATATTCATGCCCTGTAGTCATAAATAACGCTCTTCAGAAAGGTTCATCCAACTAACACTCAAACTCAACACCACTTTATGGTGAACGGTCATCTAACATCACTGTTGTGTTGCAGAACGCCAAGCGCGCGAGTGCAGCCGCCGCTCCTCTGGCCGCGTGGGTGAAGGCCAACGTCCAGTACTCTCACGTTCTGGAGAAGATCCAGCCGCTGGAGACCGAGCACGCCCGACTGATGGAGTCAGTGCACACATCAGCAAACCTCTGCTCACAGCGAGATTCTCTCTCTCACACTGTCTCTGTGTTCTGTCCAGAAACCTGCGGAAGACGGAGAACCGTAAGAACAGGCTGGAAAAAGAGCTGAACTCTGTAGGAGAGAAAGTTCTGGAGCTGAAGGAGAAGTAAGACACTTGATTCCGACTGAGTTTGATATTAGCATTTGGCTAAAATAGAACACAATCTTTTATTTGAAAATTTTCATGCACTCAAAATAGTCCACTTTTTATTATATTTCTAAGATTATAGATTATTTTTATTATATTATTTTATTTAATTTTTTTATTTAGTTTAATAAGACTACTTTTATTGAAACTTTTTTTTTCTAATTATATTTTTATCAGTTTTATTTTAATTTCTTTTTATTGTTTTATTTTATTTAGTTTAAGACTACTTATAGTTATTGAAACTTTTAGTGTAGAATTCATCCATTTTGTTCACGATTAACATGTTTTCATTATTGTAATTATATATATTTATATTTTAATCAATTTTATTTAAATTGTTTGATTTAGTTTAATAAAATATCTTTTATTGAAACTTTCATATAGAATTCATCCATTTTGGTTGAACATTTTCACTGAAATTGCTGATATGTATTCCATTGTTATTTAAGAATCATTGCTATTCTGTTATAGTTTTGATATTATATTCTGAATTAGATTTTATTTTAATATTTTCTTTTTGCACTTTAATTTTAGTTACAATTTTAGTAATTTTGTTTTTTTTGTCATTTTTATTATAATTTTTAAATTATATCTATATAGTTTTTATTGCGTTTTAGTTTTTAGACTTAGTTTATTTAGTTTTAGTTATTTACTTAAACCATAAGAAAGTGAGAAATGTTACCTTGGCCACTAAATAAGATGAATTACATTTTATTTTATTTCGGTTAATGTTTATTTCACTATAGTTTAGTTAGTGATGATAACCCTGGTGCATTCTGGGATTGTGTTCTTCACAATTGATGCATATGATACACTGTGAGCATGTCCTAGATGCCTTAAAAGGTAGGCAGCTCACTAGGTTTTGTGTGTGTGTGCGACGTCTCGTCCAGGTTTCAGTGTCGTACGACTGAAGCGGCTAAACTGGAGTCAGAGGTGAGCAGAGCACAAGAGACCATCAGCGCAGCCGAGAAGCTCCTGCAGCAGCTGGACGGAGAACACACACGCTGGACCGCACAGGTGTGTGTGTGAGAGAGAGAGAGAGAGTGTTTGGTTGCTCTTGCTGTATATGTATCTCTCCCTCCATCTGCTTCCTGCTGTAATTAAATCTCATGCTCTCACGTCTGAAGACAAACACACATACAAACATGCAGCCAAAGAATCTCTTTAGAGCACAAGTGTCTGTCGTGTGTGTGTGTGTGTAGGTGGATGAGATCAGTGAGGAGCTGGACACTCTTCCTAAGAGAGCTCAACTGTCTGCTGCTTTCATCACGTATCTGCCTGCCGCTCCTGAAGACCAGCGGCGCAGCAGCCTCGACCACTGGATGAGCAGCTCAGGGCTACAGAGTAACACACACACACACACACACACACACA